CTTAAAAAATATTGCAAGTTATTTCAATACATATATAGAAACATATATATTCTATACATATTGGACACCTCGGCGTGGTGTAATGGTTAGAAAGCTTGTCTTGCTAGATCAATTACGACTGAGTAGTGAGTTCGATCATCACTGGGTGCCCAATACTTTCGGCCTTGTGCCACATCTAAGCCGGGCTTAGAAAATCACTATATTCCATACATACATATATAGAATCATAGCAAAACGTTTAGGATAGAAACAATTTTTGAATAATCAGAAAAATATATAGAACATCTGTAATAATTAAAATAACTAAAGATAACTAAATTAATATCTACATATATACTTGCGTGTGCATGTGTTTACTCTACGGTAACAGAACATTTATTGAGCCATATAATAAGTTACTCACCATATAAATAAACGAGAAATATGAAATGTAAACTTCAGAAGAAGAATATAATTCGTAATAGAAATATATGAAAATGTTTGTCAGAGCTTTATATAAAAAGTTTTTTCAAGGTAACGCATTTAAAATAAAAATATTTTTTTCTGTGTTGCTCCAGTTTATTGGTCTGTGATTTTGTTGACTTGTAAATTGCTACATTAACATAGATAAAACGTTCTGAAATCAAATCCAGATAAAATTATACTGGTTTTCACCCATTTAAAACTGTTAACAATATCCAATGGTTTTTATCAAGAATCCTATTTCACATTTACTTATACAGACATATCAAATAATTTAACATATAGAAACTAAACTGTCTTCTATACGTTACGCACATTAACTAATATATATATATAAGCATATTGTATGTGTGTGCATCATATCTATATATATATATATATATATATATATATATATATATATATATATATATAAAAGAAAGAACAGTAAGATATATAATCCGGTGTTCTTATAGATATTTTTTTTTTACAAAATAGTGCTCAATGTAAATTTACAGAGCATTAATATTATAAATTGATTTATTTAAAATATGTTTTTTTTCGCTACACAGTTCTAACCATGTTTCAAAAATAGAAGCTAAAAGCTACGAATTTAATTTTGTAATTAAATTAAAGACATTAGTTCCATTTCATCCTCAAGCGAATTTTGGAGTAAAAAAACTTACTCCAAAATTCGCTTGAGGATGAAATGGAACTAATGTCTTTAATTTAAACAAGGTATGGCTTATAAAAATTATTTCAAAGATGCGTGGGCAGTTAATTAAAAATTTTATGTTTTAAAATATCCATAAATCTTGTAGAGGAAAACGTACGGATATTTAAATAATAAAAAGCACACAGACAAACACAAACCCGCACGCGCGCACACACACACAAACGCACACACCCCCACTCACACACCCACTCACACACACAGACATACGCACGCACATATATATAATTATATATACATTATAAAATTATATATGTATATAAATTATATATATATATATATATATATATATATATAGCGTCAATGAACTATTTCATATATATATTATATATTCTATATTATATAATAATATATGGAAATATTATATGATATATATATATACAAACATTAATATATTATACATATAATTTCCTTAAATTATTCATATATATATATATATATATATATATATATATATACTGTATATAATATAATCTACCTATATAATGTACGAAATCCTATATATATATATATATATATATATATATATATATATATATATATATATATATATATATATATACGATTAATGTGAGTAAAAGTATACGATTAATGTGAGTAAAAGTTTGTCACTTAGCTGACTGATGTTACTTTCAGCATCCCGACTCCAGAGTTTCGAAGACGGAATTATCCGCCCATTCCTTATGGGGTATCTCAGTAACTTACTCCTATATTTTTTCGATTTTTCCTTGTATGCATATTTAACACTGGTGTAAGGTTTCTTCAGTATTCTCTGTGTTAGTTTTTGTTCCTTCGTGCGTGTATATATATATATATATATATATATATATATATATATATATATATATATATATATATATATATATATATATATATATCTTGATAGTTCAATGAAACATGTTTGAAGTCATTTTGTATTTAACTAACGTGATTGATTCCATTTGGTGACAGGTGCAATATTAATGTACTATTTGAATGACATACACATATGCGTGGAGTGCTCACCCGAATGAAATGGTGCGAGTCTTCAAACCCTGTTCTTTTTTTTTGTTTAATCTATTTTACCAGCAAAATCTATTCCTAATTTTTCATATATTTGTGAACATTTGTATAAATGTATTTGAATACATGTTTCAATATGTATATATATTTTTGTATATTTATGGAATTGTATAGTCAATCAAATTTTTAAAACCATCTGTCAAATTATGATTTATTTATTTAAATAATGATGCCATGGGTAATGGCTAGAGATGTGTTCGATCCTTACTGAATTCCCTATATCAAAATAAACATTAAGTAATCAAAAAAGAGTTTATATGTTATCAAATAAACCAATCTATCCTAAAATCATTTGCAATGTATTTTTATAATAAAATCAGTTACAATATATTTTCATAGGAAAATCGTTGTAATGCATTTTTATTTGTAAAAGTTGCAATGCATTTTCGGATTAAAATCATTTGCAATGGATTTTTATATTAAAAGCATTTGCAATGAACTGTTTTATAAAGTCACTGGTAGTTTATTTTTATTAGAAAATCATTGCAATGCATTTTTATAATAAATTCATTTGCCAGTCCCTTGATATTCTGTAATGGTTAACGAATATGGTCTGATTGACTATAATTACTGATTATAATTTATTCCTCACTGGAAGAACCATACAAAATTTGACATTAGAAAACTTAGTAACCTATGACAGGATTTTGTCAGAAAATCTATCAACCTAAACTATTAGTCATATATATGTATTAAATTATTTAAAAAATATGAAGTTATATCTTAGTGCGTCTATATGTGTGAATTTATTTATATGTACGTCAGTATAGGGGTAGATAGTTTCACCTATCATCCGGTTCACACTTTTCCTCTTTCTTTCGAACAGGAGTAGATTTTCTTTTATCCTTTGTTTCTTGTTTAGAGTTGTGTTTTCCGGTTCCTTCTAAAGTCTTCTTATTCTCTTTCACTCCTAGTAGCTTATTGCGCCTTAGTGGTATTATCGCCTTACTTGGGGTGAATTGATTAAAAAAATGCATCTAGGCATGTATGTGTATATTTATATATACGAAAATATCTGTGCGCGTGTTTTGGATACATGCATACACTCGGATGTACTAATATGTATGTGTGTATATATATATATATATATATATATATATATATATATATATATATATATATATATATATATATATATATATATATATATATATATATATATATATATATATATACAAAAAAGTTAAAAGATTAATGAATTAGACCAGGAAACAGTATTATTAAAAAAGTGCTCAATGCCTGTGAAAGTAAAAATAACATGTAGAGCTTTTAAATTAAAAAATTCGGAGGTCAATTGGACCCGCTACCTTGGTTTCAACCTTATGGTATCCTCAGGCAATGTTGATCAAATGACCATTTGATAAAATTTAAATAATCATTTCATAAAAATTGCCCGAGGATACCATAAGTTTGAAACTAAGGTAGTTCGATTCAACTGACCTTTGATTTTTATATATATTTATATATATATATATATATATATATATATATATATATATATATAAATATATATATATTGTTTCACGACAAAATGCATATTTGTTTCGACGTGTAATTAGACATCGAAACAAATATGCATTTTGTCGTGCTAACTTGCATGGTCCTATGTAATTGTTTTTCTATTTATATATATATATATATATATATATATATATATATATATATATATATATTATATTTTATATTGCATTTTCTCTTTCATTGTATATCATTTTTAGGTTCATTGACATTAATTTCACAGTTTAAATTAACGGGGATATCAACTTTATCCCCACCAATATAAATTTGGTTTCGTTTGTTTTACGGCATATCAACCTCAATGGGTTAATTAATGCCGACAACATTTTTAGGATAGATTTGTATGAATTGAGTATGTATTCTTTGGTTTAGATTGGTTTAGTTTATTTTATTTGACGGTATATCAACCTCAATGCGTTATTTTATGCCGACAACATTATTTGGATAGATTCGTATGAATAGAGCATGTATTCTTTGGTTTAGATTGGTTTAGTTTATTTTGTTTAAAGGTATATCAACCTCAATGGGTTATTTAATGCCGACAACATTTTAAAGACAGATTCGTATGAATAGAATATGTATTCTTTGGTTTAGATTGGTTTGGTTTATTTTGTTTTACGACATATCAACCTCAATGGGTTATTTAATGCCGACAACATTTTTAAGATAGATTCGTATGAATAGAATATGTATTCTTTGGTTTAGATTGGTTTGGTTTATTTTGTTTTACGGCATATCAACCACAATGGGTTATTTAATGCTGACAAACATTTTTATTGCTGGTAATATTTTGTTTTGTCAAAAATTTGTTTCTGGTAATATATTTCCTTCAAAATTATATTGCTGGTAATAATTTTTTATTGTTAACTATTTACCCATAGCTGGGACCCTAACAGGTGCTACCACCCCGGGTCAAGGTGGACCTGGGAACACCAGCAATTAAGTGGTGGTTCCACGCTCCTCAAAACCTCCTGATCAGAGGCCTTGCTGCTGGACGTAGTTTAACATCTTACTCAGGACGAACAATATAAGTTTTATTCTAATAAGACATAATGTCGAATTAAATTTCCATTTAAATTACTTGATAGACAAATGCAATGAACGTCATAGTTAAAATGACAAATTATTCGAAAAAGTTTTAAAATTCACCTTCCTTTATTCATAATTATTATTCATAATTATTATCTTCTATAACATATCTTCAAATAATTTTGATACTGATAGATTTTTTTTTGCAAGTCATATA